AAGAAAGGCTCTTCATGAATTTAACTATCACAGTTGTTAAACTAGCTAAGGCGGTATGTTTCGTAGATGTATACCTGAACGGTCGAAAATGAAACGTACGGTTTATTTGATTAAGTAATTGTTTTTTTGGATTTAAACTTGATTTCGTCATCTAACTAGTAACTATTACTTTAAATCATGTGATCACATCATTTAGATTTTACGCTTTTTACACATTTTCTTGAAAAATTCATTCAGTTTCTCTAATAGATAAGGATATTCGTCCAATTTTCAACATTCAATAAGCCCATGATATCTAGGATTTTCGAGTAGTCTCCCATTCATGTAGTAGATGAGCGCTACATATGAGTGTATTTTCTACTGGACATTTCATTTCAAGCTCCTGAAGTTATCCACATCTCGTTGCTATTAACATATCATTGTAGCGTATCCCGAAATACCGGAAGAGAACCACAAATATTGTAAAACTTGGGGCTTCAAATAGAAAACATTTTCAGTGGAAATTACACTCTTATATGCTACACTTCATTAGCTGGACAGAAAGATGCCGGATACTCCACATTTATCGAACATCGAAAAACTGATGGATAACCACATACTGTATACGTGTATCATAACATGCTCGAGATAGTGGAGAGAATAATAAATATTAATGTTACTCGTTATTTTTATTAAGTTGCACAGGATACTGAATATTAGTTAACTGCTGAAAGCAACTGTTATTATTATATATATATATATATATATATATATATATATATATATATATATATATATATATATATATATATATATATATATCCCATATACAAACACCTCAGGCAGAATGAAGGCATACAACCACCTTTCTCAATTGTTCCATTCAAGCAATGGAGTTAGACAGAGTTGCCCAATATCACCATTCCTCTTCAACTTTGCCATCGATGACATTCTGGAAACAACCATGATGGATGTAAGAAACAGCGGTGTGGATATGTTGCCTCGAGAAAAACTTCTCGACCTTGAGTATGCGGATGATATTGACTTACTGTGCGATAATGACCAAACCATGCAATCCGCACATAATCAGTTGGCAATCAATGTCCGTAGGTATGGTATGTGCTTTGCACCTTCGAAGTGCGAAGTACTTTTACAAAACTGAAAAGACCCTGATCCTTCACTCATCCTGGGTATTGAGCGGATAGAAGTAGTCGAGAAGTTTTTGTATTTGGGTAGCTGCATAAGCGCTGGTGGTGGCGTGAGTGGTGAGATCAGTGCACGTATAGTGAAAGCCAGAGCGGCTTATGCCAATCTGGGCCACTTTTGGCGCCTTCGTGATTTTAGTCTGGCTGTAAAAGGTCGGATCTACAACGCGTCGGTAAGAGCAGTTTTGCTCTATGCTTGTGAAACCTGGCCTCTCCGAGTTGAGGATGTTGGACGACTCTCTGTGTTTGATCGTCGTTGTCTCCGAAGGATTGCTGACATCCATTGGCAACACCATGTTAGTAATGCAGAGGTTCGGCATCGTGTGTTCGAGAGCAGAGACGATATCCCAGTTGGTGCCATCATCTTGAAGCATCGACTTCGGTGGCTTGGACATGTTGTACGAATGCCATCCCAGAGAATTCCACGTCGTGCATTATTTGCCGACTCTGGGACTGGTTGGAAAAAGCGGAGAAGTGGTCAGTGTATGACATGGTGTCGTGGTATGAAAGAAAGCTGCAAAGGGCTAGCTTCTGTTGGTCCTTCACGACTCCCTGGTTGGGGTCTGAGAGATGGTGCTACACAGTGGCTAGAGACGTTATCAGATACGGCTCAGAATAAAAGCCAGTGGCGATCCTGCTGTAACCTTCTTTTACTTTCTTCATAAAAGAATGGTTGTATCTTCCTTTACTGAAAGATTTCTTCTAGTTGTACTTTTCCGTTTCCCCCATTATTATTATTACACTACCTTACACTAATCTGGTCGTTATTGTTCTTTTTTTCTTTTACGCTCCTTACCTTCTTTTTTTTCTCTTGCCATTCTCATTGTTTTGTGTGGCGTATATATATTTGTGTTCAAATAAATAAATATTTTCTTTTTCATCTATTTTCATATTGCATTTTTGAAGTCAATGGTATTCCACTTAAATTATGAACCGATCATAATTAGACCACCGCTGAAAATCTGTAAGCACTGGATGGCCGTTTTGTCTTACTATGGGACTGATCAGAAGTACATGTAGTTTAAAGTGAAACATTAACACCGTTGGATAGAGATTAGACATTCACGCTCGAGACTAAGGGTCCTGTGTTCGATTCCTCCGTGAGAGGTCGTGAATGAGCACTACTGAAGAGTTCCATACTAAGAAGAGACGGTCATCTAGTACTTCTGGGTTTTCGGTGGTGGTTAAACTTAGATCGGTCCATAATCTCAATAAAAACTCAACAATCTACATGATATCTGTTTATGAAAAATCTTGCATCCAGTTATCACATCTAATTACTTAATACCTTATATCATAAATTATTTTTACACTTACTATTAACTTAGTTAATTCTTAACCAAAGTTCAATTTTCGTATATTTGCTTCTGTTGTTTAAATTCGTCTCTCATGTACCCAGTTTTTAGTTATGGTTAAAAGTTATACTTAAACACATATCATTAGTTGTCTCTATATATTACATAATATTAAGTATGCATGTTCACATTCTACACATGACTGTATAGAACAGTGAAATTAAATGAATTTTGTTTGTTTCCTCCATACATACTTTAATCAGATTGTTTAAAATAAATGAAATTTAGAAGAAAAAAATAACAATTCATGTCTTCATTAATTTACAAACCTAAACTTATTTTAACAAACATACAGGGCGGCCTGCTTGAATATCTGGGCTACCTGTTCCTCCGATCTAGATATTTCATCAAGTTATCTGTTTTCTTGTTCATTTTAGCACATCATTATGTCTGTTGTGCTCACAATCTATTCGGGCGCGTTTATGAAAAGTTTACAACCTTTCGCTGTACGGGTTACAAAAAGGTATAATCAGCGACATCATGGTGGCTGGCAATAAGCATTGAAACGAATGAACATTATTCAAATATGGATTACCGAACTTTTAACATCTAACTGGTCATCATTCAAAATTTATCGTCACAATCGATCAAGATATAAGAAAAGGAAACTTGTTGAAATACTTTATGCTGAGAATTCTATATTGTACTAAAAATATAATGTTGAATAAAGCTTATGATAATAATAATATCTTTGTAAGTGAATGAATTTATCATTAAGTAAAATAACACGAATTATATAAATAATCTTACTGTATAAGAAATAAGTGATTTGTGGAACGACTTATAATTTAGCTATGAAAAATTTGTATGATATCGGTTTATAACAGAAATGACTTTCGAATTATAAATCTATTCAAAGTTCTTAGTTATCAAGAATTAAAAGTTCTTGGTTGATGTCTTTCATTGATGTAGTACATGTGAAGAATGTGCTATCCAAATAGTCTTTGAACTGGAACACTTAAAATAGGTTTATATCACATATCTGTTCATTAAATTTAATATTACTATCCACATCAGGTTGATCATGATCAAACTGACATGAATTCTGTAATTATTATTATAAATTGACTAAAATTGAGAAATAGGCTTCATTAATTTACTCAACAAAGGAATAAAAACATGGAAAAATATCGACTGATAAACCCGAAGAAAGAGGATGCCAATAAAAGAGAAATTTCCAGAATATACAAAGAAGAAAGCTAGAGTCAGGACAACAATGAATGATTGTCACCAGTGGCTGGAGACATTAATTCAAAATCGATATCAACGACGCAGAAACATTCATCGCTACATTCCCTCAAATCTTAAGACTTAATATTATCTCATACTTTTCATTCCCTTATTACAATCCTTCTTTATAAATAAAAAAATATTCTGTATTTTATCTGAGTAGCACTGATACTACTACTGTTCTAAATCATTGTATCAACTTTCTGTCATGGTGATAATGTGATGAAACAGCTTGGCTTGATGCCTACTTATCCGAAGTTCTAAATTAATTGTGACTTATTAATCTTTTTTACCTAGACGTTACTCATTTTGTTATGCTGTAAAGTCATTTATAGATAAAAACGTGTTACATTTCTTATAACCTCCAGTTTACAATGGAAAATACCATTTTGTTAGGAAATTCACCTGTATAGCACTTAAACTTATGCATATTCTAACTTTATCAATTCATTTTCAAAGAGTTAACTAATACATAAAAAAATCCGGGATATTTAGTCACTCAGTCAGCTACGAAATATTTGAAGAAATCATCACTATCATTATATATATTTATATATATTCAACAGAGTTGTCACAGTTCAAAGTATTACAGTATGACAGAGATAAATACAAAACACACCTTAACACATATTTCTTAAATATATCTACACAAATAATAAGAATAAAGAAAAATAATGTCAACATATTTGAGTAGGACAATTTTTTTCATCATTATGATTACCCACCACCGCAAAAAAAACCCAACTTTTATCCCTAATCCATAAAAATGAGCAAGAAGAAGCATATAGCTATATCTGTCACACACACACACACACATTAAGAAATCAAGCCGAGAGTAAAACAACACACACTGGTCAAACATTCATTGATAAAAAGAACACAATGTTCACAAAGAAAAAAATTATGCACAAAGTTCATTTAAAAATAAATAAGACAAAATAAAATGGATTGCACCCTATTCAGAAAACAAAACCAAACAAACATTAAATGATTGAAATAAACAAATTACAATATTTAAAAAAAAACAAAGAAAAAGACAATGATAATAGTAAATAAGTCATAAAAGTTTGGTTGTTAATTTATAACAATAACATTAAGATAATACAAAAGGGATAAATGACTAGACCATAATAAACAATCAGAATTGCTGAAACTTTTAGTCATAAGATTGGCGCGAATACAAATTTGAAAATTGTTTTCTCCGTTTCATTTCTTTTTGTTTCTCTTTTTTCACATTGTGATCATCATAAAGAAAATAAACTCAATTAGGAATTGCATTACCGTAGTGGCAACATCATGTAAGATGAACACTAATAGTCTCATTCTGATATAATGACAATTCATTGATCAGATCGTTGAAAAAGCGATAGTAAATCTTTTGCAGCTCTAGCAATCTGATGAGCATGACGTATTAAAATAGTGATCTCCGGTGGAACTGATCGACCACTATGACTGACAGATCCAACAATACTGGAAGAAGAGGAAGGTGATGTGAAGGAAGACGAAGTAGTGATTTGTTCACAATCTTTTCGTAAATTTTCTGATTCTGTGGCAAGATTATTTAATGCATTTTTCACTTCCACTGGGTGAGATTCATCAGAAGGGAATAAATTTAATAAATCTTTGACAGCTAACTGAATTAAACGAGAACAATGAGCACTATTGTTACCATGACGATCACCGTTAGCAATCTAAATGTATCAAATGTGTAAAAAGAAATAGAAGACATGAAATGAAGGTTACACTGTCATAAAAGATGTTAATTATCATTAGTTGACATAAACAGTTGGGATAGAAATGCAACTTCAAATGAATTGAATTATCTAGTTATCATATACATAAACACCGTATAGTTTGATAAAACTGTCATTTTCGAAATATAATCAGAAATATATTTTATGAATCGTTTTATCTAACTAGACCTCACCATCTACAAACATCGTTTTATAAGAGAAAAAGAGACGAAACATATGAAAATAAGACTTATCAACGTTTAAGTCAAAATCACAAAATTAAAAGTTCAAAGTTCATCCTCCTGCTTCGGTCTGGGCACCCGGGCAGTATCACAGCCCTTACACAAAAATGTGGCGCATATATATTTGGTGCCCTCTTGTACCAATATTTATGTGTTCAAATAAATAAATAAAGTTTATCCTATACAAATTAGTGTGATAATTCTAAGATTCACATGCAAAAGATCCTGGTCAGTGTGTCTGATAAAAGAACTTTTAAATAACTGTTGATCTGTAATTTCACTATGCATTGAAATCAGCTACGAAAAACTAAATAATGAGTATAGTGTAATTCAATAGAACGGAATCTTATGCATATTTGAACTAATGATGCCTAATGACACTATGTGACTACTTGAATCGAAAAAAGTAAACAAGTGAATAGTCCCGAGCTCGGAATTTAATAGCTTAAAGTCAACTATCATCAAAATGTTAACTAAGACAAAACTATAAAGTTTGATAAAATAAATTGAAATCTCAGAACTTTACAAAACAAATAATCTACGTCAAAAAGAACCTGTTATTGATTCTGCTATTCGCTCATGAACCTTAACTCATATCTTTGTACTATTATGGTGTGACAACTTGACGTGATACATATGTGTTAGTTACTACTTTGAAAATTACTGGCTTGAAAAGATCACATTACATAAGCACTGATATTTCACACGTACTTGTCAATATTACCATGGTGATTGTTTCGTAATAAGAGACTTGAAATTTTCAGGTTAAGATTTTTATTCAACGTCCTTCAAACGGCTGATTGTTTCAGTGTGGTGGGAAACACTAGTTTATTTATAAATATCGGAAAACTAAATTAGGCAACGAGAAGTCCCATACTATGAAGAAACCGCCGTCCAGTGTTACCAAGATTTCACTGGTGATCTAGCTAAGATCAATTCGTGATTTAAAACTAAAAATTTTATAATCCTCACAAATCCCTTTTACCAATGAGTTATATGTTTTTATCAATTAAAACATCGTACCAACAGGACAACATGTGTTAAATTCATAAATTATGAACAAAAGTTCTGTTATACAGGAAAAATACTACTGAACTACTAAGATAAATAAAAAACCTGAATATAGTTCTTCCATCACTATAGGGGTTGTGGAGATATTTGATTTTTTATTGAAATCATGAACCAACTAATATTAGACCACCATTGAAAACCTGGAAGCACTGGACGGCCTCTTCGTCCGGGTATGGAACTCCTCAGAAGTGTGCATCCACGATCCTGCACGAGTGACTAGAACCCAGGAACTTCGATCTTATTTCCTTGCTGATGATGCAAAAATATGTATGATTAGGCGATCAGGTAGTAAAGACAATCCAACCATACAAGCCATTACCAATTAATGTAGGTATATACATATTTCAGGATAATGCTACACAATATGAGTGTGAGAACCTGAAATACAATATGAATTTTATTGCGATTAGCAATATCCATAATTCATGAACCGAAAAGAGATTGACACGTAACTCAATGACGAAACACACGTTTATATGACCCCTGTTTAAGCAATACACACACGAATGAGAACCAATGATAGTGACCGACTGCAAAAATCAAAGTAGGTTAAGTCGGGTTCGAATCTGAATTCAATTACTTAAACTCGAGAGCTCTGATTGTTATCAAACCATTAATTTGACTTGCTATTGATCATCTTTAACTATATATAACCTTACTGTAGTTGCTACGTAAAGATAGTTCCACACGTATAACGTCCAGTAAAAATGATAATGGTAATAGTAATAATAACCTTAAAATCAAAAAGCACCAAAAATAAAAAGCTGAAAATGTCTCTAATTCAAGTACTGATTGTGTTACGACTGGAGGGAGACTGAATCAAAAATATAAACAACCAGAAAAATATTCTCACCTCTACCAAACTTCGAATACGCATAATAATTGTTTCAACGCATCGGACAACTCGTTCTGAACTTGGAGCTTTCCAAACTTGATCTCCATTAACCCCAACGACAACACTACCACCACCTGGTCTAGAATGTTTATCGATTTGATGAAACGACTCATTGGATGAGTGTATTAATGAGGATGAACGAGAAGCGTTATCGTAGTCTGGAGACGACTTACTTATAGATACTAAAACTTCTGAATGATGTAACGGCTTTTTACTATCAATCATTGTTGGCTTGTTCAAATGTGAATTCAGTAGACGTGATGATTTTCCCTGATGGTGATGATGATGAGGATGATGACGATGATGATGACTACTAGGAATATTCATGTTTGGACTGGTTGTTGTAACACGACTACACAACTGATTCGCTAGATTTTGACTGATCGGTATTGGCGCTGGAGAAGGGGAACCAGTAGCATTAGGTGCAGTATAATCATCTGGTATATCAGGATTTAAAGCTGAAATGCATGCATTTAAGGGTAATATGCTTACAGAAAAAGAGCGAAGAAGAATGTGATAGAAATGTAATAGCCCAGTAAAATAATAGACATTAACCTTAAAAGTTTTTTTCAACGACATTTTCTATCACAAAAGAGGTCACTACTAGTAATTAATCAATTTCATATAGTCTAATCTTTAGTACTGAGCGAAGAACTCTACGAAGATCGACTCCGTATTGTGGACACAAATAACCCTAAATGATCCATAGTGTTAAAATTTGATTGATGGTAAACCATATTAAGAGGTAATCAACAACCTTAAATCTATATTGTACGATTACTGATAACTACTACCAGGATAATTTTCAAATTACATTCTAAATGTTTCGCATGCGTAACTATTATTGACACTATCAGCATTTTAGTTAGGTTTTCACCGTATTAATTTCCTGCTTTTGTCGCTGTGCTGATGTGAAGTATGTCTGCTTGGGTGGATAACTCACTACGTCTGGAATTTCTGAAGATATCCTTCTCTTGCAATATGGCAGGGTTTGGTTACATAACGTATTGATCCCACGGCAAACTTAATCAACAGACTTTGTTTGGTACTGATGATAAGATAGCACTGTACTTGATTCAGTTCTATACAGGATCAATTATGATCTAAACAGATCAATGTTAACCATATCTAACTAACAGTTACAATACCTGATGCATGTTGATCTCTGTAAGGCAGCATGAATTGTATGTTAGCTACAGATATGCTTTCCTTCTAATTATCAAGTAATTATAAAATTTAGATCTAGGGTTTTCTGTCAACCGACTTTAATCACAGATCAATTTTCATCTGAAAGTTAAACGACTTAACCATTGAGCTACTGCATCATTATTTTGTCATATAAATTTCACATCATAATTATTTTCATTTCACTCACTATTTTAATGATCAATCATTCTATTTCCTCAAATTACTGGAGTTATCAATTAATTACTATAGTATCACTCCCCTATCAATTAAACATCATTACTAACAGTATGTGTTTTATGTCATAACATTTTTCAAACAATTAAATTTTGGCACCAATTTTAATTCACCATAAATATGACATCTATTTAACGATAGTTACCTTGGAATATTTATAATTTAAAAAAGAAAATAGAAAACAATTCCGATATTTGGAAAATATATTGAAGTTAAAACTCACCATCAGCAAGTGTGATTGAAGTACCCGATACTAAGGTGGGTTTTGACTTGGACAAAGGATGCTGAATAAGATGTGGAGTATTAACATAAGTCGGAATATTTTGTGGTGCAGATGAGACAACATTTTGACTAGTTGAAGTGAAAACAAATGATTGCTTTAGTTCTTCATTATTTCTACTGTGTAATTTGTTACTTTTTACAAGGCCACGAAATGATGGCGTTATAAAATTCGTTTGAGATATAGAAGGATGAGAATGACCGAAACCTGTTTGATGCGTTACACCACCACCACTAGTTACAGATGCTGGTGATCCACCTCTACTTCCACGTAGAATAATACCTTGTCTAAGTAGTACACCAGAATCTAGACAATGTGAACCTATTGCGTAATTACCTTCATTACTAGATTTATCATTACTGCCACCAGCGACAATAACTCGTTCCATATCATATTCAGAGTCATAATCTTTATATTGTTCAGCATCCACTTCACCAACTTGATCATCATCATGTTCTTCACCATTATCTGTTATTTCTTCACCATATACTCTAATTCCATCTTCTTCGTCTTTTTCATAGTCCCATTGATAATGTGTTGAAGGTGTTTCATTAACTTTGGCAGCTTTCAAATTAGATGAATACACTCCAACTGATGTTGTTGTCGTTGTTGTGATTGGTGTTTCGCTGGTCAGTTGTTGACCGTCTGAATCACAGCTGATTTTTAATGGATTATGAACCATAACCATACCAGCTGAAAAAGCCGCTAATAAGGCAGACTAAAGACGAAAATCAACAATTATGTAAATAATGTAAGAGATAAAAAGAATTACAGATAAAAAGTATGTGTAAATAAAATTCAATAGAAATCAGGAGATTAAAATTGTTTAAATAATAATCACTATTAAGCATAAGTGGATTGTGGCTGATAGCAAAATCCAGGACGTGCATTTCATCCCATTTGCGAATAGTCATCTGAATTTATCCGCACGTCAGTGTTGACATTCATATAGCGACTCAAAATCAAGTACTGATTTCCAGATAACTACTAGCTTGTAAAATGAGAGGGTAGTGAATTTCAATTTACATGAAGTTGTTTTGAATATTCCTGTTGATGGTAAGGATTATAATTAATCGGTAAGTTTTGGCATGCGTCTATTTTGTGAGAATTGAGTTGATATTGTCACAGAAAATTGCCAATACTGCTTGGAAATCTTTTTGATTTAATGGCAACGGAATACACTTTCAATAACTATCCAGCTATTAAACTGGAGTAATGTACATACAATTTTATCAACGTTCATGACCTCAATGATCAAGTTTTATTACTCAGATATTAATTATAACTAGTATTTCTAATTCCCATTGAAATTATCTCAATTAACTAGATCATTAATATTTGCTGTTCTGAAAAATATTAAATTATGTTCCCAGTTAACAACTTATGGGATGTGTTAAACATAAGTTTGATTCATTTCGATGTACATTTATCAGTCCACTTGCCATTATGGATTGGTTTGTACTGACTGTATAAAGTATACTGCCTCCAAATACATTTCTAAGCTCAGCAGAAGCGTTAGTAAATCATCGTTTCAAAACAGATCTGTGCATGTTAAAAATTTATATATTCAAGCTTCAAGTTCACCTCGGTCTTCGAAATAATTAGCAATAGTGGTAGTAATACATCTTGTATAATTTTAAAAGTTCTTACCCATTATTTCTACTTAATTACATTTTCTTCATATTGTTTCAGATAGACAATTGTTTTCCATCTAGAATTTATTTTCATTTTACTGGTTTATATTACCTTTCGATCAATATTACATAATCTCCCCTAATATTAAAAAAAAATCACTTTCCATTACATTTTTAAATGATCCCTTATTCCATGTCAATGTTGAATAGTATCAATCTTACTATACAATTTACTATACCGTTTTTTATATTGTAAATGTTGAATTTGTTCATTGGTTCAAAATTTAACATTCATATCTATTGATTTTCACTATCATTTCAAGGATTTATTTACCCATTACTTCATTACTGAATCTACCCTTTAACTCTGTTACCAGCTAAGTGCATTTCAAAGTTGTGTTTAGTCAAAAACAATCAATACTATCTCTGTATATTGAAAATGGGATGTTTGTAAACCATTAAAATAATAATAATAATAATATCAATCACGGAATATGACGTTATTAGAAAATTGTAAAAAACGAAATAAGATGATGTAAAGTTTTATTTAAAGTCTTCCTATTTCCCTAACATTTCTTATAATCATCTTAATATGTAATAATGAGTTATATAACTTATTTACTAAATAATGATCTATGCATTTAATATTGAATCATACAATTTGTGTATGACAGAGCTAACAATATTAAAATAATATTTGTAGGCTAACTAGAAACGTTTGATCGTGTTGTATTCCGTGAACTAGATCGTTTAATTGTGGAGTTATTGTTGTTGTTATTATTATTCTAGATAATATTTTCAGTGACTTCTACATAAATTAGATGCTGAAAAAGCTAATGATACTATCTGGTTGTCTAAACTAAATTAGACCAAAGATAGTCGAAATATGAAATTTATTAGTTAAATGATGAATTCTTTAATCATTAAGCCTCACTCCTTTATGTTATTACTTAGAAATGAAATGATTAATTAAACTACATTATGTTTCTTCCTTCCGTTTAACAATTGAATACATCTACATCCGTATTTAGATTAACTATAAGTTCATAACAAGGATTTTGACGGTAACTACCATAGCTGTTATCAATTCGCATGTTATCAGTGAAACAAATCCATTTTTTTAAATATCGTATTAATCTAATCAGTTACAGCATTTTTAGACTATAGCATTAAAGAATGTTCCTAGTAATACTACGAAAACACTGATATGATACAACCCATTCAAATAAATATTCTTAACTCATAATGACAACTCTATTTCAAGTGTCGCACAGAACTGCTTGAAGATGGAACATAGTCTAATTGAAATTAAACAGTTAAACGAATACGGCAACAATATGATAAATGTCCAAACCGAAATGTATATCATATCATAGCGTATTGACTAAATCAATAATGTTGTTGATAAGAAGAAACCACAACTGAAATAAACAAATTAACCAAGTAGGATAATAGTTCAGCACGATAGTCAATTGTATTCTGACAATGTCTGTCATGTATTTATTCAGTACAACGCTTGCTAACGTCAGTAATGAATTAAATCCAACTAATGGTCACTGTAAAAAAAATCTGTAATATAAAAGAGTAGTATCTTTCCTTAAAATATATGTTTTTCGCAATTCCAAACCAGGCTTGATTTTTCTACATTTTATAGTTTATTGTAATTTATAAATTTATGAAGGGGGGAATAGAGGTGGTAGCGTATTATCAACAATCATATTTGTTGACGATTCGTTTATTATTAATGTAAATCAATTTCTGATTACCATACGTAAACGTCTTTCAGTCATATAAAATTTCGTTTTATTCCATACTTTAATCATTATTTTCCTTACGTTACTTGACTGTCAAGATACACATCGAAAAAGTAAATTCGTAACAGTTTTCTATTAGATAATTTAAAAGTTAATTTACAACTGGTCATATATTCAATCAGAAGAAATTGGCCAGAAAGGAATGGTAAATAAAAAAATGATTACATATCGAATATGAGAATTAGTTTCAAAGTATAATTAAAACATGCGACGTAACAGGATGAGTGAGTAGTAAGTAGTAAACAGATCAATAAATAAAAATGACAACTAAATGAAATATACAAAATAAACAAACAAATTGGTTGATCATTTCAAACATAATCTATTAGTTTTATGTGAAAAATAAAAATGTACGCCAAAATGATGATGTTACATCATTAAGAAGAAACAGCAGACAATTCATGTAGAGTAGATGCAAAATTGTTAGTTGATTCATATTACTTATCCATTCAACTTTAAGCTACACATCAATGTTGTATGGGAGTATGTTATTTTGCGCGGCATCCGATTCTGACATTAATACATAAATTTCCTATATGTGAACCCAAAGCAGCCGCTTAAGTGACAAGAAAGCTTTATTGGTTAACCTAAATCCAGAGATTTGCATATATATATCCCTTAAAAATGTTTAAATCAAACCAGTGGCATGTTTCTCACTACATAAAAAATGTAAGCCAATCTCGGCTAATAATACGACCCAATGTGTTACAGTGTTAGTGTTATACTACTAATTAACTGTTCGAAACTCAAAATAAATGGAACAAGATTTGAACCTATACGGCTTAAAATGTAGGTACTTTACCCGCTTTGTTATTAATACTTCGTGTAAAAAACAATACAGAATAGTCAGATGAATATCATTTGAATAATCACCAATTATACTATTATTATTGTCACGTCGACTACAGTCTGTCATAGTTGTGTAGCAGACGAACAGGTATGACGACATGTATCGATCGATATTGTTGCAACATTTCACATTAATCCAACTTGATGAGATTAGTTAACACGAGCAGGAAATCAAGCAGGGAAATTACTGATATAAAAAAGACGCTCATAAAAATAAGTGAAAAGCGGCTGCAGATTTAATATGATGTTTCGAACTTAGTTAAAAACAAATATCAACATAAAACATAAATATGAATTGTTTCAAGTTGTTACAGTCATTTTCTTTCATAATAATTAGAGAAAAATCAACGAAAAATCGGATGATGTTAGAATAACCAAGAGGGATATTAGTTGGAGATGGTAAAACAATAAAGAGTAATAAAAAGCGACATGTCGCATAACTTATCTATTACTGCTTCCTAACATTTCAAAAGAAACAATTAGCAAAAAATCTCTTAACTGTATACAGAACTCGGGTTGATATTCGGTGCTTTCAGGAACTATGTGAATGACCCATCCTGTTTACCCTGAGTTGCTTTGCTAAACTGATCCTACTACATTAGAGAAAGGAGGTTTAAATAGGTAACAGATAATATACTTAACTAAATCGATGAAAGTTTTATGAACTGATTTGTCTTAAACCAGAACTCTGCAAATCATTCGAATATACTTTTACTCAATATTTCTAGTACCTGTCTGAAATGCTTCAATAACATGTATGATCCAATATTTGTGATCTATGAATACGTTGTTTTAATGAATATGTTTTATAGTCGTAGAATGACAAACTAATGCGTAGTATAACAGACTAATAATAGACAATTGTATATTTGCGCGGAACTTTGTCGTGAAAATTTAACATTTAGATGAACATTTTTTATGAAGATTTCGAGAACAATAAAACTAAAAAATAACGTCTACCCGACAATGTTTCAGATATCAATTCACTTCGATGTAATAAGAAATAAGCTATAACGATATCTTAACTTTCTCAAATCTAGCATTTAACATCAAAAATCGATTTAACCATAGTTATAACTGCTTTGACGGACCTAATACTTTTTCGTCATCATAACATAAGTTAAGAAAATTCCAGAGTAACTAAAAACATAATTAGAAGCTTTGTAAAGATCTTACATAAACCTAGCATTTATAAGCGTAGTTTCCTTTAATATAAAACGTATCTTTAGTCACTACTCTTTCAAAGCGTCGATAAATATGCTGAACTCCCAATAAAGTGACAGTGAATTGTGAAATAAAAAAGACCACTGGAGCTCATCGAAACAATCTACTCAGTTGACAAGTTAATCGAATGAAATTAGCTCATGATACCAAATATTATTTTCAAAAGAAATAAAACATGTTATGGAGTTGAATACAAA